GGAATTAACCTATTGAAAAGGTAATCATATAATCGTGAAGGGTCTCTTGAGAGCTACAGAAGCAGTTCGAGTTGCCCCTGTTGCGCTGCATTGTTGAGGACCTCAGAAACCCACCACCAATTTGCTTGTAAAGCTGTCCCATCTCGCCACATCCTCAAACAATAAGGACGGCCAAGATAAACAATAAGGACGGCATCTTGGCCGATTCACGACATACAAGGCACGCGATTTATATAAAAGAGCGCATGTTGGCTCACAACCACCCGCAGAGAAGGTGTGGAGTCCACCTCAGCCTCACCAGCAGGTGTCTTTTTGAGATCGACGGTCGACTGAGGAGTTTTCATGGGTGTCCGACGGCTCACAAGCCCACAGGAACGGTGTGGGAAGGTGCGGAGTCCGCGTCAGCCTCTCACCGGCGGGTGGCTTTTTGAGATCGACGGTCGACCGACGAGTTTTCAGTTGTGTCCGACGGCTCACAGGCCCGCAGAACCGGTGTGGGAAGGTGCGGAAGAGTGACTGGCGGTGAGGGAAGGTGCGTCTGGCTTCACCGCCGGGTGTTATTAAGTGAACTGAAGTGTGCTTGACGGCTCACAAGCCCGTAAACCCGGTGATGCTGGTGCAAAAGGGTGATTCTTTGCTTTAGAGACTGAGGGTATAGGTGCTGTGGGTACAAGGAAAGCCATTTCCTTTCAAAGGAACAAAGCACTTTCCCTGCGATGGATAACTCTCAGATCATCTCTCCAACACCGCAGCGGACAATCCCTGTCGTAGCACTCCAAGCAGAAGCAACCAATACAAGTGCAAAGCAACACATGCTGACAGCAGATAAGCTTTCCTGGCTTTATGCTTCTTTGAGCGTCCTGGAACGCCACGAGCGGATCACCAAAGAAGAGCCGCTGCGGATTCAGCTGCAAAGGAAACGCCTGCTGCAATTGGCAACCAGAGACCCTGAGTGAGGGCAGCAGGCCTTTAGCCAAGAGACTGTGATCTATGGAGACAACGCCTACAGACGCCCTGTTGGTGAAGAGGCTTGTTCCAGAGGCAACACTCCCAAAGTGCGCATCCCCAGGAGATGCAGGCTATGACCTCAGCGCAGCTGCAGACCAGAGCATCGCATCTGGCAGCTGGGGTCTCGTCAGGACGGGGATATCCATTGCTGTCCCTGAAGGGACGTACGGGCGCGTCGCTCCACGCTCTGGCCTCGCTATCAAGAACGGTATTGTCGTTGGGGCAGGAGTGGTTGACAGGTAAGACAGGACTGGAAAGACCTCTCGTGTGTCTCCTGCAACTATGCTGGCGATTGTCGAGGGATGCAGCAGCTGAAGCCAATGGTGAAGATGCATGCAGGTGCATTGGAGGCTCCTGAAGGTTTTGCCCGCTAGTGCCTCGGTTACTTCAGTGCAGTGCATGGGAGTATGCAGAGCATGCTGAGCCTCTGGTTCCTTTCATTCAGCATACAAACGCCGGCTACTTGCTGTGCAATCTGAGGATATAGGTGCTGGGCTTAGCAGCTGAGATTGATGAAGCTTCACGGTTTCCAGCTTAGAACTGCATCTTGGAGCAGAGGTTGTTTGTGAAAGTGTACCTCCTCCCTGTCCTTGTTGCATCCATGCACGCATGAATACATGCCTACTCTTGTGCAGGTCGTACCGGGGGGAGGTTGGCGTCGTGCTCTTCAATCATGGCCCAGGAACGTTCCAGGTCAGGAAGGGAGACAGGATTGCTCAGCTCATCTTGGAGAAGATTGCCAGCCCGCCAGTCGTCGAGGTGGAGTCTTTGAGCGTCACACACCGGGGTGCAGGAGGCTTTGGAAGTACAGGGGTTTGAAGCAGCAGGGCTTAGGAAGAAGGGAGGGCAGGCAAAGCACAAGGATTTCACAGTTTGCAAGAGAGGCTTGCATACATACATATCAGCAAACTAGCCGGGGGTCCAAGACTCTTGTACTACAATCTGTTATAATTTCTTTCTTCTCCAGGGAAGGAATAATAACACATTAGTAGTACAAAGTTTCCCCTTTGGTCTCCAGTCGCCGATATGTATGTATGTAAGGCCATACCCCCAAAAGATGTAATATAGTAATTGACTTTTTGGAGAAGAGAATATAACAGATTAGCAGTACAGAGTTTCCCCTTTGGTCTCCAGTCGCCGATATGTATGTATGTAAGGCCATACCCCCAAAAGATGTAATATAGTAATTGACTTTTTGGAGAAGAGAATATAACAGATTAGCAGTACAGAGTTTCCCCTTTGGTTTCCAATCGCCGATATGTATGTATGTAAGGCCATACCTGAAAGAGACGCAATATAGTAATTGACCTTTTGAAGAAGAGAACATAACAGATTAGTAGTACAGAGTTTTCCCTTTGGTTTCCTGTTGCCGATATGTATGTATGTAAGGCCATGCCTGGGGGAACAAATGCCAGAAAGCGAAACTGCCACTAACTTAGTCGGAATCACTTGACTCAAAGTCGGTCTGGTCGTCCTCAGAGTCCGTCTCGCTCTTCTGAACCATGGTGTCTGGCTGGTAGTACGGGTTCAGTAGCCTATTGTTGAACGGCCCCTTGGGCTTTGGCACGTAGTAGCGTATTACCATGGTTAGGGAGCAATTCACACCCATGAAGTCATAAAGAAAGCCGTCAGAACCCCAGAATTGGAGCGTCATGCAAGGCAGTTTGCCGATCGGGTGAAAAGGGCGCGGCTGAATCGTCGAAAAGTCAAATCTTGAGTCAGTATAGCCAAGGATTGAAAGCTTAAACTTTGCCAATGGGTAGTTGAATGGCTGAAAGGCCCTCGAGCGGTACATGTTGCTCTCAATCTCGGGGATCCTGAGGACCGCATAAGGCAGGCCCGTCAGGTCGTACATGCCAGGGGCAATGAGGGTTTGAGCTCCGACGGTGATGCTTGCCCGCCCGACGACGAGTGCGTGATCGTCTGCCAGAGGCGCCCACGAAACCTGATTTGTTGAGTTGATGACTGAGAAAGCTGGAATGTCAGGGGCGCTCGCAGCAACCAGAGGCACGTTGCCTGAGGCCCCAAAGTCCAATACTAGCCAGTACACGCTCGATTGGTCGAGGTACGGTGAGGTCCTCTGGTCGAAAGAGATCGTGGCAAGGCCGCCCGTGCTGGCAATTGCGCTCCCGCTTGCAATGGAGGTCAGGAGCGGACCGTTCGGCCCTGTAGGGGCGACCCGCCAAGCAAAGGGCGTGCCGGGTTGTACAACGGCAACTTGCAGATTCTCCAAGATACCTGACGACTGGTCCGAGAGCAGGCGCAGGGCGTAGTACCGGGAAGGGGGGGCGGGCTGAGGCACCTCCGGTGAGTAGTTTGCATGCAACCACGAGTAGATTGTGGTGGAGACAGGGTTGGTGATCATCGAATAGAAGCGCTGCGGCTCGGCAGGGTCCGCATAAAAGGAGGAGCCCGCCTTCCTGTGATTGTATGCGAGCTCGTCAAAGCCAATGATGTGATTTATGGTCGAATTTGCCATGTCAAAGGAAAAGCGGCGAGGGCAACTGAATTTCAATGTCAGCCGCAGGTTGGTCGGGGCTGACTCGAAGGTGGTTGTAACCCCCAAGGGATTCAGCACACTGTTGAGGGCGTCAAGCATCGTGGTGTCTGTATGACTTCCCATCGCGACTCTGACCACGTGCGTCGCATTGTCGGGCGTCGTGAGAGTTAAAGTATTGCTGTTCTCGCTGACTGTAAATTGCGTTCTTGGAATTTGTGCATCCAAAACGTCCACTGAGAACACATTTCGAAATGGCTCTGCGAAGTCGACCCGGAACTCTGACGGTGTGGGCCAGACGGTTCGGTCGCGGTCC